AATGTGAACCCTTAAACTTTGTTTTTTTCTCTTGAGATTATCATAACTTTTGTTTTGTTCACATTTATTTTCATTTGGTATCTTGCTTTTCCCACTTCTTTCAATCTATTTATAATTTTCTGTAACCTTCTTTGGTATTATGTAGCAGAGTGTTGTTGTCAGCATACCTAATATTATTGATAAGATGTCCATTAATTTTTACACCTTCATCTAAATTTTCAAACACTTCTCTCATCATCCATTTACTGAATAAGTTTTTGTGTTAATTATTGCATTTCTAAATCTATAGTTGACTAGAATATAATCAATTTGGTTTTTTGTTTCTTCTCTTAACCCCGGAGCTCTCCATGTAGCGAATCTTCTTTCATGCTGTTGGAACCAGGTGTTAGTTACAATCGTGTTGGTTCTGCAAAATTCAACAAGTCTACTTCCTCTTTTGTTTCTTTCCTAAGCCCCATGGTCCAATTATATTAACTTCTCTCCCTCTTCTTTTTCTTATAAATTATATATATATATATATACATANATTCATATAAAACGGAATAATCAATGATCTTATACGGGGGTCGACTGTATTTTAGGCTGTGTCAACTAATAGTGCAGGGACATGTCAAATTATTTTTAAGTTTATATATATACTCAAACTAAAGTAATGAATAAACCAAGCTTTTTCCACTGAAAGTGTTCCTGTGTGATTTGTTCTCAACGGCAACATTATGCTAAGAAAATACATATAGTAAAGAGAACAGGAAGCAACCAAGGTTAAAGTAATGAAGTCTATTATCTTGCAATGCTCATGCACAATGGGTAAAGCTGAAACTGTAAAACACATAATTTATGAATGTCATATCTATGAAGTTGAACGCTTCAGGCTAATGCTGGAAGTTCTGTCTTTGGGATATGGTTGGCCCTGTCCAGCCCATATTCTTGTGTCCAAAGTACTGTATGCTTATTTTGCTATTTTTATTAAGGATATTTTTAAGAAAAAAACAGTTAACTGTTTCTTCGAATTCCGGTGTTAGCTCGATGTTTTTATATTCATTGTTCATTTTCTTACCTACCTCTTATCATTTTATGTATGTAATTATTGATTTAATGCACCACTCACTTCAGAGTGATGCACTCAAATAAAAATTAAAAAAAAGTCTATTTTCTATCAAATAAGTTACTCAAAATTATTGCATATGAAACTGATGTAATTTTAATAATCCATGTATTTATTCATTTAAAGTATTCATTTTCAATTATCATAATCTTTCGATACAAGATGTAAAATGTCACTATTACTATGTCATAACCATTGTTTTTCTATTCTTCAAAACACAACATATGAGTTAAAGTATTTTCTACTCTAGGTTTCCAACTGGATTTTGGTAAATCAAAACTTCTGGACAAGAAGTGACATTACTTTTCTGTTTATTTTCTGATAATATGGAAGTCAACCTTAACACAAACTAGTCATGTGTTGTTATTTTTCAACTGTTATTTCAAAAAAAATAAAAAATAATAACAGATTGTTATTTAAGAATAAAAGTAACAACTAATACAAAGTATATCACATTTGTATTACTGTATAACTTACAACTGGAGAACTGTCAGAACAGTAAAACATAGAAAAAGATAGTGTTAAACTTCTTCTCTGCCAACATGGGGGAATCTAAATTCATTCTGGGTCAGAAACACAGCAGTTTTAATAGGTGCACTGTTTTGAATATGTTAGACTCCATCCCTCACCATTTGATCACCTTTGTTATGGACCTGGCTGAACTTGTGATGGGCATGATTTAAAAAAAAACCCTCTTAATGTTCACAGGATGAAAAGAGTACAAAAAAACTATGGAGCTTCTATAAATTACATAATGCTATTTTTTTATTTTTACCACTCCTCATAATGCACTGTATTGCTACTCATTAGATCATAAAATTAATTAAATTAATAACACTATAAGAGTAACATCCTCTTGCTGTTAGTTTCTAATACAAATTCTTGATCACAAACAGAACACAGTTCTTTAGTAATACTAGAATTTGATGGATAAATAAAATCTCTACTTTTATAAAGTTAGTTTCAAAAGAGGTAGAATAATATGACCAATTTTAAAAAATAGTATGTTGTTTATTTTAATCATATGTATTTCCTTTACAATGTAGTCACCATTTAGTGTGTCACATTTTTCCAAATGTTCAATTCATTTTCATATTTTATATATGAAAAAGCCTCCTGGATTTTCATTCCATACAACAGCTTAACTTCACCATCTCTTGAAAAGTATTGATCTTTCAGCACCATTTTTAATTTTGGGAAGAACTAGAAATTTGATGTTGCCAAGTCTGGCTCTATGCAGGATGTTGAATAACCTGTAACTTTAGTTTCTTTGTCTTCACTGTTTCATTACTGCAGTGTAGTCTTGTGTTATCATGATGCAAGGGAAAGACAGTTTTCTCTAGCCTTACTTTGTAAATACATCTTGAGTTCTGGGGCCGTATTCTGGTCACTTATCTCTCATCTCTTCTTTAAATGCTGAATGATGTCAAAATGAGAGACGAAATTTGTCTCTCGGAAACAGTGACAATTCTCGTCACTTTTAATGATTTCATTGTCGTTGATGATGTCACAATACTACTAGGTTGATTATACATGTTTGGGTTATCTGCGCACACTACACGATATAGAATTTTAACCAATAAAATTGTAAAATTTTCGAAAATGCAGAGTGCATAATCATAGATCATGTGGCAAGGAAAGCATGTGTTCAAATAAAGCATGTAATTTCGATGAATGTTTGTTTTTGTTTAATAACATTTTCACAGATTGTAATGTCAATTTGTCTTTTAACAAATAAAAATTTTAATAACCTGAGTTAGAAAAGTGTGAGTACTTAGATATTTTTCAAAATATTACCATCTAATTTCTCCTTGACTATCTAAGTAAGATTAACATCATATTTGATATTTTAGTAATTGATGTAGGATAATTAAAAAAAAAAAAAATGGAATCTGTGGCGTTTCCAAGTAGGCACTGGAAAAAAATCAGAAGCATTTTCTCTCTCAAAATATTCTTTCCCGAGATAGAGAACGTTCTCTAATACAATTGTACAACACGAGTAGCATCCAGTCATCCATATTGGATATAACAAAATTGAGGCAAAAGATGAAAGACAACTATCTGCTCATCTCTGACAAACAAGAGAATTGTTGAGAGAAAAAGTTCTCCAGAATTGCATTTGGAGAGACGTGATATCTCTTGAGATGTAAACAAATGATTAGCCAATCAGCGACTGACTTGTGAGAGACGAGCGACAATGACCAGAATATGGCCCCTGGTTGTTCCAAAATTATTTTAACTATATAGTCAATAAATTTGTGCACATCCTAAGATGTTCTGGGGATTTATAGAAAACTTTTCTAAGAATTTCAAAGCATGCACAGGAGTCCTTTCTGATAACTCATATTTGTTATGTCATGACAAATAAGAGATGCCACAAGTGTAACCATTGGTAAAGCATTCAATATCCAGTGAAAGAAGATAGCTACATGAATCAGTACTTTTCTCTTGCATACAATTGTTGAAACTATCTTTTAATCCACTGATAGAACCATGAGATTACAGTGGTTCATAGAAAGACAACTTTGGCAATAGATATGCTGAATTTACAAATGAATCATAATTTGTTCTTAGCAGAAATAACTGAAGACAAGGAGATCTGATAGAGAAAGGGCAATTTCATCATGTTATTGAATGACAGTCAGGAAAACTGAATTATAATGTGGGCCAATATTTGTTTTAATACTAAGATACTTGTTAGTCATCATTCCTGACAGACTTAATGTTTGGAGATTTTAAAATTGTACCCCTCTATTTTAGAGAAGCTTGCTGATACAATTTTCCTGCATATAATGTCTGGTCACATATCACAAGAGGGATACTCTACAACATATGGAAATTCTTTCCTGGCTGCTTGTTCTATAGATCTTTCTCCAATAACAAATGTTTGGCAATGTCTGCAAACATAATCTTACCCTGAAATCTACCAATCTGAAGTTGAAGCAGCAAGATTAGATGTTTCTCATAATGATATTGACTAGGTTATTGAAAGTGTGCTATGCAGAATTAATGCATATGTTACTTTCAAAGATAATTATGTGACTTACTAATAAATTGATAATTTTTTTTTATTCTGTTGTTGTGAAAATTTAATCAACAGCTGTATATACTAACATACATTTTCTAACAAATTTCCATAAAAATTGGTTAAGTACTTAAAGCTGTTGCACTTTGTTTTGGAGGTAAGTATAAGACATTATTAAGAATAGAAATTTATTAAGATAAGTGCATACTTGGGCAGATGGATAACATGGGCACAGTAGGTGAATTGCATTGATGTATATATACACTTGTTCAGATTAAGCAGAATTTAGAGCAAAAGAAAGAGTGAAAGTATTCAGTCAAGGCTTATTTTTCTAGTATAAATAATGATTATGAAGAATTAGTAATAGTGAGCTACTTATTATTAAAGAGGATGTAATAAATTATATAATTCTTTAGTTTTGTACTGGAGATATTCAAGTCATATCTGCCATCTGCATAATTTCTCTTACGATGGCACAAATTAGTGCTCCCTGCAAAAAAAGAAAAATTTCTGTTAGATTAGTGTGCCAGGCAATTTTGACAACTAGGCATCTGCATTAGTGATCTTGTTGGTTTGAGGCAGACAGATGGAAATATTGCTGTCTTGAGAATTTAAAACAGATCTCTTCTCATGCAACCTATCTGCCCACTCACTTGTGTGCTCATCCATAGGCTGACTTTTTTTTTCTACCCATCCATCTACTCAAGTGTGCACTTACCTTTAATTTTGATTTTATCTTTAGATTTATTTAGATTGATGATTTAAATAATGCATGTTTTGTGCTGATATCTTTTAAAAACTTTATTAGTTACATTAAAATTAATTAAATTTATTCTAAAGATTATTATTCAATTTTAATTTGTTTTTTAGGTTATGGCATCAAGTTACATTAAAAGTTCAAGAACTTGTAAAATCATCTTATTTACAAGAAGGAACAGCATTGATAGATGTAAGTTGCATAAATCATCCTAAAATTTTTTAAAAAATTAGTTTAATTTTTACTTTCTCAGCTGTTACATATAAGAGGAAAAGTATGGTAATCAGTTAAAAAATGATCTTTCCAAGATTTTTACATTTTTGGACCCTGAACCTTGAAGTGTGAAAAGTGCAAAAATATTGGGAGGTTCTGTCTGGGGGCACGATTTTGTTCACCTATTTTCAAGCTTAATAATTCCAGTGTCTTTTCTAGAAAATTTCTGAAATTTTGCATGGAGGTTTATGTATTAGGGGGATTGATTTCATGATTAAAGGTCAAGGGGTAGGGTGATAGTTTTATTCATAGAAAATGACACCATACAGTTTGAAATGTTTGTTGTTGCTGGGTTTTTTCAGAATGAGTCTTTTCATTTTTCATTGCCAGTTCTGTAATTTATAATATAATAATGTATAACTGAATAGTTTACTTATCACTATAGCTTATTTAATTATAAGCTATAGATTTTACATATAAATAAATTGATATTAAATCTGACAATATTATATTATTACTACTCAAGAGAAACATAATGCAAAAGATAGTGTAACTGGTAGTATGTATAGTTAACTATTAGTACACCAATATTGTTCAATTATTGAATTTGAGTAGATGATATCACAAGAGTATTTCACATTTTTGACTGATATCAATTACTGTATTTCTTTAATTAAGCCCAGGAAATAAAGATACCATTTAAAATAAATTTGGTCTCAAATAAACCCCAAGTTGAAAAGCATGAGAAATAATGTTGAAGTGATGTGTAGGGTAATATAGTTTAGAGTAAGGAGTTTAAGTAAAATTCTACCTCTTCAAATTATGTGGAGTTGGAGAGCACTTTCTATTCCATGGGTTGTGGTAATGTTTTAAAATAAAATTATAAATGTTGAATATTGATCATGAGAAAGTTGTGATAAATTCATAAGTCAAGAACTTATCAGACAAATTAGGAAAACTGGTTCAAATGCACTGTCTCTTTCAAATGGGATGGTGAGTTTGAAACAGAAGATGGTAGTCAAGACCTTGATTTCTATAATGACATCAAAACAGACACAAAGGTCAACATAATAACCAAATTGGAAGACATTAAATTGGGTAACTATGAAAACAGTAATCATTTCAAATGTTATAGCTGTCATCCATTAATACAGTTAATAAATGGTTTTGATAGTTCAGAAAATGTACAAATGATTAAGATATTTCTATTAATTTTTGCACACTCATCTTCTCTTATAAGGTAATAAGCCCCAGCCTTGAAAAATTCCAGGAGTACATACATTTTAAAAATAAACCCCCAGGCTTAATTGAGGAACTATATTTCATATTCAATGTGAAAATATTAAAATAGTTAATGAAAATAATGAAAAATACTAAATTTGAAAATTAAAATATTTTAAATATGTAAAACTAGTTTTCATTAATTATAAATATATATTTGGTTTTTTTCACTAAAGATCAGGGGTGTGGAGTCGTGTAAAAATTTACCGACTTCCATTTTTCCTTACCATCCGACTCTGACCAGGGGCGGACATGTTACTGAAAGACACCTGAAAATTCTGATGTCATCACATGACCTCAGAATAAAAGATTCGATAAATAGAGTTCTAATAAAGATAGAATGTAGAAGCTTTTTATTCCAAAGCTAAAAGACTTCTCTAAGTAATATATAAATATGTATATTCGATAATTTTCACTTTTCTGGCTGTTATATATAACAGAGGGAAAGCGTAGCGCTCAGTCAAAAATTGACTCCTCCCAAATTTTTACATTTTTGGACTCAGAACACCTTGAAATTTCGAGATATATAAAAGATTCGAGGATTTTTCTATGTGTGGATGTTAGGCTGTGTTCACCCTGTTTGAAGCCTAATAATTTCTGTGGTCAGAATGGTCAGAATCAGAGTCAGATGGTTTAACACAATAGTTAGTTATTAAGCGTCAAAGTGGTTGAACTAAATCATGTCCCATATACATTCTAGCATCTTAGGCAAGAACATCTTAACATGTTTTACTGTACTATTATAAAATGACAAAAAAGCTTACTTTGAGGGTAGAGACGAGTTTTATTTTATTATTTTTTTAATTTTGAATGCTAATAACGAGTAAAATATTCATTAAGAGATATGACACATGACAACTTTTATGTCTTAACCCTGTCGACCTTTAATTAAGAACCAAAATTTAATAGTATTAATGCCCCTTTATATGCAAGCTACAGTGCCACATTTTGTTTCTTAAACTTTACCCATTCTGAGATATTAAACAATATCTCAGAACAGAAAATAAAGAAATTAAACAAATTAGATGCCAACACACACACGNCTTTAATTAAGAACCAAAATTTAATAGTATTAATGCCCCTTTATATGCAAGCTACAGTGCCACATTTTGTTTCTTAAACTTTACCCATTCTGAGATATTAAACAATATCTCAGAACAGAAAATAAAGAAATTAAACAAATTAGATGCCAACACACACACTCGTGTGAATTTTTCCCCTTTTATTGACTTTTTTGAGGGGTTCGGGAAGTCTCCAAATGTGTAATTTGCAAAAGAAACTTGGAGGGTCAAATTTGACACAATTTCAATACTTTTCCATTTTATACACAAGTTGGGAAGTAAAAAAGGAGTTGGAGTCGGCGTATTTTTTGACAACTCTGACTAAAACACCAAAACTCCACGACTCCGACTCCACAGCCTTACTAAAGATAATATATAAAGAAAATGTTAATTATCAAATTTATTATAATCCCACAATTTAGAATAAATTGATAAATAGCAAATAAAGGGTATTATTAATAAAACTTATTTATTTCNATTGATTTTTCAGCTTTATGAGAATTTTTTGGCTGAAATTGAAAATAAGTAAGTAAATAATTATTAAAGTTTTAAGGAATATCTGTTTATTTATTACTTAAGTGTCTGTATAAGTAAATAACTAAAAAATCAACTAACTTAATCGATGCACTTTTAATGTTGGTTGAAGTTAAATAACACTGGCATTTATCACCCACTTAATGGGCCATCTTCAAGCATGGACAGTTGAAAGTGATATGTCAGTGTTGGAAGGTGAGACACAGACAGAGTAAACATGCAGAGTAGTGAACTATGATGGTTGCAGTTCATGTGAAAGACTAAGAAAATATTGAAGACGGGAAGGAAGTCCTTTCCCTATTCCTGATGATTATACACATGCAGTGATTAGAGGGTGAGGCGTTCTATTTTACTTAGTTTGAAAGGAAGTATAGTTTCAAATGGGATAAGCTGTTGCATATGAGTTTGTTTTCTATTAATAAGTTCTATTGTTTTGTCTCCAAAATATCTCATTCTTTTACTGAAAAATGCTAAATAAATTTGACTCTATAGTAGCTAAAGTTTATACCATTTCTGAACTGAGTTTGTTATCTAGTTGCATTTTAAAGCAATTGAATAATGTTGGGATTGCAATTTTTCAGAAGTGTATATGCAACATTATTAATTTTAATGAGAAAAGATGTAAAGCAAAGCAAAATGGGTTTCTGTCACCCAGAAAACAGATGTCTCATATAATTAGAACTTTGCACTGAAGGAGGCTGATAAGTTGATGTCAAGAGAAACCTTTGTCTCTGAGAATGATATTCAAGCAACTGAAAGTATCAGTGGACAATACATAAGGTCATTAGAGAAGATTCAAATCAAAAACCAACTCCTTTTTTAAGACTTATTTAGCAGGATTGAAGTCTGAATTTGCTATCACATTGAATGTGGTTTTATTCAATGTGCAGGACCTTAATGGTACCAGGAAACTCTGTTACACTAAAAGTTTGGGAATAAAATGATCATCATTGGTGTTTTGTCAAGACATGAGCCATTGATTCTTATTGGGGTTCCACAAAAGGTGAAAGTGAATGACAAATACTATGTCAATGATTTTTTGATATTGTTGTTGTAGACTGAACTTGAAAATATATCCAGAAGAATTCCATGAAATTTTTGATCACCATGACACTGTGTCATCATGCATGGATAAGAGACTTAAAAGCCTGAAGGAGAACCCAGATCATTCTCAATTAAAACATTCCTGTAAAATCACCAGTTGTAAACCTTGTGGATGTTTCAAAAATTGAATCCAAAAAATAACTTTTTCAAGAGGAAGGTGACAGCACTAGATTGCTAGATGGTGTCTGGAAGGCTTTAAGGAGTAACCCCTGAAAAAAGTGTTTAAAGCCTTAGACTGCATGGAAATGAAGATTGTGAACTGTTAGTACAAGAAATAAAGAACAAATTAAATGCACAAAAGCTATTTAGAGCTGTCATCAGGGCTGGCTTGAGAAATAGTGGGGCCCAGTGCAAGGTGTTGTGTTGAGTCCCACTATTTCTCAGCAAATTAACAGCAATTTTGAATAACAAAATAATATTTTAATGGTAAACATACCATTCATTAAATAGATAAGCCAAAGTTGGTGCCAGATTATCCAAAAAGTTGAATATCTGACAAAGATTCAAATTCAATCATTGCCATCCCTCCATCAGCACAAAGTAGTTATTCTGAAAAGAAGAAAATTGATAAGCATATGTTATGAATATTCATTGCAGTAATACTGATTTTCCATCCAAGATAGATTTTTTTTTTTTAATATACAAGTAGAACAACACAAGATCAGTCACATTTCTGCTTCCACTGGTATAACAATGCCATGTAGTAGAGTTGACATTTATTTTGAGGTTCTTTGCCTCAGTTTCTTTGATGACAATTTATTAATATTTTTTTAAAGTGGTGTTTGGTGACATATTTTGTTCTTAATTTAATCTTCTGATATTCAGTTTACTTATTTAGTGACTTTATTCTTATATATTTATGTACTTTATATTGTATCTTGTTTGAAAAGTTAGTCAAGCTAAAATCATTTCCTTTTATGATTGGATAATTTTTAGTGATATATAGAAAATATATATTTAAAAGATATAATATATACTTATTTGGTTTTTTCAAATAAGTATATATGAATATGATTTCAAAGAAATTTTTTAATAATGTATATAGTTTTTAGTTTTAATGTGTACTTTGTAATATCTTTTTAAAAAACTGGTGCTTTGAAAAAATGGAGTTTGTTTTACTTTTTAATATACCATAAATTATTTATTTTTTTCAGAATCAATCCATTATCATTGGTTGAAATAATCATATTTGTTGTAAAGAAAATAACAGGTAAGTCTCTTAATGAAAATTAATGTTAATAATAATTCAATTCATTTTTGAAAATTTTCTTGCAACTTGTAAATCCATGTTCTTTTGAAAATAAAGATTAGCTTCAGTTAAGACATTCTTTCAATGAGCTAGTATAAACATATTTTCATTAAAACTTATAAGAATTTTGATATACAGTAATTTCTTCTCATCTTAATTAAATTNTTAGTTTAACCAAATAAATATTTATTTGAAGAGATGTTCTTTGATAATCCAAATAAAACAAAATTTTACTTAAAAATTCTGTAAAACTTTTTTTATCAGTGATATTTTTGACTGCCCTAAACTTCAGCTTCAATAAAAATTAATCAGTTAATACACTTAGGATTGAAAAATAGTTTGTTTTGATGATATACCAAATATTCAGTCTAAACTTACTTACTTCTAGGTTCTCCTCCTCCCTTTTTTCCTACTGCTACTCTTGTCAGCTTTTATTTTTTATGTTAATTTTAGGAATAATGCCTTCTCTGAATTGTTTTCATATCTTAAAAGTTTGAGAAATGAAGTTATAAAAAATGAAGAGTAACTCTGTCTTTTCAAATATCAATTTTTGTTTAATGCACAAAACTGTAACTACTGAAACTTGTTCCAGTTTTTTCAGTTATTAGTGATATTCTTAGATTTGTGATACTTAAAAACACGTTCATTATTATACATGGATATTGTGGACAATAGTCAATTACATAGTGGATACAGTTATAAAGGATGTGAGTCAGATTTTTATTAAACTTGTAAAAACTATATCTATCTATTAGTAAATCTAATAAATCTAATAAATCTTAGATAAATCTAAGGCTTTTCATTTTCTTTTATGATCTATGACCTTTCACAATGAATCTAAGACTTGTCACTCTTAGAGAGAACAGAACCAAAACTGAACAAAACTGGTCAGTCAGAAAATGAAATAAAAACTAGACAGTGTGAAAACCTACATTAAAAAAAATGATTAAAAATGAATTTTATATTATTTTTTTATTTTTGCAAATAAAGTAAATAAAACAATGACTTATAAAGCTATGATAAAATAAAATGACTAAAAAGGCAGTTAATAACAGAAAAACAGTGATCTGTGAGATCTGAAAAATAGCCCTTAGCAGCAGAAGTCCATTACAGTGAATGAATTTTCTAATAATTTTCCTAAACTTTTAGCCAGACTATCAGCTATCTGTAAAAATGCAAGATCCATCATAATGAGCTTTATTGTGTTTTAGTTTTTAGGTTGAAGAATATTTTCATTTTATATTATTAGTCAGATGAATGTTGTTTTAGGAATTAGTGACTAGTTATGTTGATGGAAAATTCAATAACAAAGTATAGAAACATTCTTTTATGTTTTAGAAAAGTGTTTTGACTATCATTTCATTATTGATGTTCAATTGAAAATTTAAAATTTACAAATAAATAAGGAACTTTCAAGAAAATTGAGTCTTTCAATATTGTTTAAACATGTTTTTCTCCTGTAAAGCATAATACTTATTTTGCGTTTTTTTTTCTTTTTTATTAATTTTATTTTGTCAGTTTACTGTTTATGAAAATTAAATTTTTTCAATAAATTAAAATATAATAGAAACTGGCAAAATTCTCCATTTTTCTACAGGATCAAACTTCAGAAACTTTTGATCAAAGGATTATGTAAAACAAAATGCAGAAATAATTATGGCTGTTTAATATTAAATTGCTTATTTATGCTACCAAGATTTGAGATGTAACTTTAATATAAGAGACTGAAAGAAATTTTTTCTGGTAGTCTCACATTTTTAATTTTCTGTTTCAGTTGGCTCATCCAATTTTAGAAAGTTTACAAGGAAGAGATAAAAATTGGATTGTTGATCTGTTACATGCATTTAATAGTGGAAGCTTAGTACGTTATGAAGAATTGCGACCATATTGGAAAAATGAAGTATGTAATAACTTTAATATTAAAATTTTTAAGTATATTTAAGAACTGTTAACTTACTTTCATGAAATTTTTTTAACTTTTTACTACCAATACTAAAGCTATGAAAAATTTTTATAATTAATTATTCAAAATATATATACTATATATCAGGTGCCATAATAATGTTTTTTTAATTCAGCCAAATTTAAAAGATCATGAAGTATCTCTAAGAGAAAAGATAAATTTGCTGTGTCTTATGGAGGTAAGTGTAAACACAAATATGATTTTTAATTACTGAAAACTGAGTTATGCTTACACTGTACATTAAATATTGTATAGTAGAAATTTGTTAATCTAGCACAATGGTTCCCAAAGGGGGAGCTATTAACCCAGGGGCAGTAAGTAAATCTGGGGGGTGAAAAGAAGCAAAGGGGCACTGGAGACAGGACCAAATGGTGACCTAAGGCGAGGGTTTAGGTCACTGACAACCTTTCCCTTTTCTCTGTTAAAACAGATAAGAAGAAACATTGCATTTAATAGTTCGTTGAAAACAATGTATAGTGAAGACGAAGTGTGAGATTCATAGAAAAGCTTTTCTAAGAATATTTCCAAGCTTTTCTCACCAAAAAGGAAAATGAGGTGGGGTGTTGGGTATAAGTTTATGAAATCTGGGGATATAAGTTTATGAAACCTGGGTGGTGGCTCAAAAAAGTTTGGGAATCACTTTAGGTTCAAAGTCATGACAGATTATTGAAAATTCAGGATTACTGGATGTTTTTGTATTTTTGCAAAATTCTATGTTTTATGTAATAGGAACATTGAAGACATTGCTGTGCCTTTTGTACTAATTCATATTTCTTATCTTTCCAATTTTTTACACACTTTAATCAGTCTGGGGATGAGTCACTGTCTGACTATACTGTATTATGATTGATTTGAAAAACCTGCATAAAAATTAATGAACACATTATTGTACAAAATAAATATTTACAATGATTCATGTGTGTAATTATTTTTCAGACATGTACTATATTGCTGCCCATAGTTTTTAGCATCATGTGTCCAAGCAAATTTAGATTCATAGAATACTAGTATGTTAAAAATAAAAGAAAATCTAAACACTGTCTGTTGGCATTACTGGTAAATGTGTTTAATTAATGAGAACTTTCAACTGTATATAAAAGTCTTCTTTAGGTAACATAGTAGATGGAACATTGTAAATCCAGAGATAGAACACATTTTCAAATTTCTCTTTGCACACAAGCATAGAACATAAAAAAAATTTTTTAGAAATAAAATACAAAATTATATGTCACTATAAAATAAACATGATATATGATGGTAATGGCTAACAAAATTATATATAGAAATAATTGGTAAGAAAATAGAGAAAATTTAAATAAAACATAAACACTGGAGTCCCATTATCACCAGTATGTTTTTGTCATAACTACCGTATTTTACAAACTATAAGACGCACCTTAATTTTTAAGCAATTTTTTAAAAAAATAACATTTTTACTATTGTTTTTGTTAGCTACTAACAAAAATATTGTAATTCTAAAATATGAGCTTTTAAAGGCAAAAGAAGAGTCTCAATTGTGAAATTTAACCATAAAATGGATTATTTGTTGAAAGAGCATTCAAAATAGCCACAATAAAAATTAGAATTCCTGCTACCATCCGAAAAAAATTCGAAGAGACACTTAACTAAGACTATGAATGAAAATTTAGAAATTGTGAAAGCACATGCACTAACTTGCACTTTTACAATTTCTAAATTTTCATTCATAAAACCACATACGGTAATGGACCTCAAAACAAAACTATCTGAGCCATGGAGGATGCCATGTTGCTTTCCATCGCAAACTACTGCTACAAGTGGCCGTTTTTGCCATTCAACGGTGCTCACTCCAACTGGAGTTTAGGAATGCATTCTGCAGGAATTTTTAAACGGATGTTGCTCGTGCAGACTTTTGCAGAGGAATAATAGAACACACTCATGTTCGTTGCATCGGTGCAGTGCTGCTGCCAGTTGAATTCAATGTTGCCAGATAGAGATAGGTTTTTGCAGCATCAAATATATGGCCATTTTTAAGACTGTTGGGAATTTTAAATAAAACACTGGACAATTTTATATTAATTTCAAGTATAAGATGCACCTGAATTTTGGAGGCAATTTTTCGAAAAAAAAGTGCGTCTTATAGTCCGTAAAATACAGTATGTGACCTATGATTTTAGCAAGTTAAACAGCACAACCCATAGCTCTGGAATATTAAGTGTGGGCAAGTTGCATGGGAACATTGATGTAATAAATAAAGACTCCTATATGAACAAGGTTCTCCTATCCCCACAGAGTTTTACCAGCAAAACTTGTGACCAAAGAGAATCAAAGTTATATTCCATCACTTTTTTGATTAGCTCTGATGAACATCTATGTGTAATATCTTTCTGATGCTCCACTAGATGGACATGAAGCATTCTGACAGTGGCACTCTTATAAATTCTGAGTGGTCATGATGGTAGCCTACCACTCTAAGGACCCGGGATCAAGTCCAGACAGGTCGAAAAATCCCCAGGAATTTTTCAGGGGGATGGTCCATCCAGATATGTCGGCCCCTGTCTCTCACCACCCAACCACCCCATTGTGGGCTTTCTGTAAGAGGCCCTCTTAGTGCCACAGGGCGGAACGAATTTTTAAAAAAGTGCGTTTGCAAGCATGACTGCCTCAAAATGGGAAACAAGCAGATATAACAAGACTAATGGTTCATATCTGGAAGAATACATCCAGTAATACTAATTATAAGAGACTTTGCCTCAAGAACGGAAAAACAACAAGATTGAAGCTAGGAACTAGTACAGTGATTTTCATAGCAAGAGCCTTTTCTAAGAAATAGGTTGGATGTGAACGTTTGTTCACCAAAGGACAAATAGGCCAAGCAAAGATCTTTACTTCTGGGACATACTAACTTATTACTAGTATGTTGGATTATCATCATACAATTCTGTATTATTGGCTATTTTTCAGAGGGTTGCAGGCTACCAGATATTCCAAATTATTAGTTTCTGGATTAACAAACTTT